GCCATGTATTGTGTCCAGAACTGAGGTGATGTTGTGCATGCACTGCCTCATCCTTCATATAGATGTGACGCATGGTCAGAGTTGCTTCTACTTTATATAAGCCTGTTAGGATTGAAATCCATATCAGGGCTTACCTCCATTAGAGCTTTGATTTGCTTCTTTGCGCTTTATCATCTTCAGTGCTTCAGGCCTTTTCTTTTCTTTTCTTTTTTTTGGTTATTTCCCCCTTTCTGTCACCGTGTCTGTTGAGGTTTACTCCAAGGAAGTTCCTCTCGTTGGGGAGGAACATTTGTCTCTTGCAGTGGGCACCCCCCTGGTTAGGCGCATGCCTTTCTGTCAAATGGTAGGGACTGACTGGCCAAAATAGCCTGATTGTGTCATCTTTCTCGCTTATGATGCAGAACTGGTTTCCATCCAAGGTGGTGAGGTTAGGCTTGCTGTTGACACAATAGTGCTCCATCATGCCTCTGATTTCTAGACCATCGTCCCTCAGAAACTTCCAGGTCTCAGTTATGGTTACCAGACTCCCTCACTCCAGGTGTCGATTCCTGATTAAGCAATTCCATCAAGTAATTTTCATGGAACCCAATTCCGTAAAGTTTAAAGTTCGACTCCACATTTATTGAATCTCAATTCAATTTTTTTGGAATCTAGATCCCATAGCATTAAATAATGCAGTTCGTGAGTGCATGAAACCGTGATTCAATCAGCATGGAATCTCGCTTCCACCTTTATAGAATCTTGATCCAATTTTTTTGGAATCAAGTCAACTAAATAATATATTCTAAAAATAATTTTAGGGATTCTTACACAACTTGCTCTTTTTTAGTACTAGAATTTGCCAACTACTTCTCAAAGAAAATTGAGAAAGAGCATTGGGTTTGATTCGATTCCCATGGATTACAACATAGAGCATCACAAACACACAAACAAAGTCTCATTTTCATGTGTGTCTCTCTCTCTCTCTCTATATATATATATATATATATATATATATATAACAAAACCTCATTTTCAAGTATAAATGAGATAATGTTTGTATGTTTCCTTAACACAGGCACGACTTCCCTAGTCGATTAGTGACACATTCAGCGATTTCAAATTTATTATTATTTAATATATGATCAGTGCTTGAGAACTCTATGGGTGTCTGCAAACTGTAATTAACATTATTCCTAAATTTTGAGAACCCGAAACACATATCTTGTTTTTAAATTTTCATTATTAACAACTCAAGTATTTTTACCAAATCAAGTATTTTTGTATTTTTATTTAATCCAGAACCTCAATAAGGCCATTCAATACCAGGGGAACCCTTGTTCATGTCATTAGGATTGTTAGAGGTTCTTGCTTTCAATACTAGGAGAATCCTAGCTAAGCGTACTAAATACATCGATTCCAACACTAAGAGATTCCCTCTAGGACCTTGAACCTTTTGCCCTATGAAGCTCGTTTCTTGTTGTTTTACATTGCGGTTCCAAGTGCTTGGGTGCGTGATTCCATAAAGGTAGGAATCTCTACTCCAATTAGGTCGAGACTCGATTCCAAGAAGTTATGAATCTTGATTCCAATTGGGTTGGTGTGATTCCAAGAAAATATCCATTTTTTTTGGAGGATGATTCCTAGAAAGTAGGTAATCTCAATTCCTACAATACTTATTGTATAAATGGGGTTTCCAACAATAGGAAGCTTCTACCACCTGCGATTCTACACTTCTAATTCCTATTTGTATTCCAAATCTCTGGTGTTCCCAATAACTATGGTCTAAATATCTTTGAAAAGAGGTTCGTCTGGGGAAAGAGTTTGACCTTCTAGCGAGAGTCAATTTCTGCCTCGCTAAGCAGCATGGGCTAAGGCGGTTTGCCATCAATACGAGGATACTTTAGGAGGCGTTGGTCTTTATAGTGCTTGGCAGGCATCCTGACTGGTGTATGGCCGCCTCTTGAAGGTCATCCGAGGGTTTATGGAACATTGATGCTCTGCGACAAACACCTCGTTCCTGGATATCTGTGAGGCTGGTATGTCGCCATGGGACCTACATTACATTGGTGACTTTTCATTGGAAGGGGAAAAGTATGAGGAGTAGGCCCCTCCCAACGTGTCAATATTTGTTGAAGTGACTCTCAGTGGTAAGGACTATCTAGAAGGCTTGAAGGAGTTGTTCAATGAGTACCCCATACTGTCTCATTCCTGTTCTCATGAGCCCAAACTTATCCGTTTTGAGTTTTGAGTAATGGGTGACTTTTTTTTATAGAGACCAATCTTCCTTTGAGATGGATAGTCCTTTGGTGCAGGAAGTGGAGGCTTTCCCAAGCCTGAATTTGTTGAGCCTTCTTCTACCTACAGGGTTCGTTTGGGCCATGCCTGGGCTTATTTCTCTGCAAATTTGCCCCCCCAAGTTTGACGGGAAGCTCTATAAGGCTTGAATGTGTTTTTGTTACCTCTAAGATTGCCCAGGGCAACAGATTTGCTTTGGCATAGCCCTTGCTTGCAAGCATATATTGAGGCTTGTGTCGTGTTGCATCATGCTTTGATATTGAATTGGGTAAATCTTGTGGCTAGTGGTCTTCGATTGGCAAAGCTGTAAATCGCATTCCCTGCCCACTGTGTTTGGGGGAGGCTCTGGATCTATTTCCCAGCCACATACAAGCCTTACCCTTCTCTGGAGGAGTTGGACTGCCCTTTTCTTTTAAGGGTAGGGAATCTGCATTTCATTCATGCTGAGGTACTTCGGTGGTCGGCTTCCACCAAGTCTTCAGAAAAATGGAAGCTTTTTCTAGTTGGACTTGCTGCAGCCAGGGTGTTTATGGACATGAAGGCCACTGGCTGGAGAGCAAGGTGGTTCTTGATGAGTGTGCTAGTCTGCTGTTCTGCAGAGGCTTTGCTATGAGTGTCAAGGCATACAAAGGCCCATCATTTTGCACAACAGCATGGTCTTGATCAACATCATCATCATCAAAGCCTTTTCCCTACTAATTGGGGTCAGCTACATGAATCTTGGTCCTCCATTCTGCTCTATTCCAAATTCATGAGAAATTTTGGTAGAGTTTGTCGGCTGCCTACTTAACACAATCCACGCTCTTTACCCAGGCTTGGATGGGTTAAAGGAAAGTTTAAGGTCCTCATCCTTCTTAGACCAACATGGTCTTGATCAACATGCTGTTGAGATAGTATGGCCCAGCCATGCTGACGCTGCCACAGAGATGCATGTAGACACCTTATTCGTGGCATCGAACTATGAATCTCTTGACGGATTTACCTGATGATATCCTTCTCGCCATTTCAATGCTATGAAGACATTGCTTTCTAGGCAGGATGGCTTACATCGTTTGGTGTGGTGCTAGGCATGTTGTCATTCTTCAAGAGTTGTCCATTCCTGATCTCTCCTTCCATATTTTCAATGGGTGGGCCCTGACCGCATCGATATGTTATCGATCTGTTCTCCCCACCATTATGGGCATATTTCAGGCCAAGCTCTGGCACCATCCAAGGGGCACAAAGCCCCGTCCTCTAAGAAGAGGAAGCCTGCAATTGGCAGGGCCAAGGCTTCTAAACCTCGTTGGGCAGAGGAGTCTGCTTCATCCTTGCCTGAAGGTACATTATTTTCGTTCTCCCCTGTTGGTAACAAGCATAGAAGCAGTTGGGCAACCCATGGTGAGCTGCCAGAGCGGGAAGCATTGGGCACTTTGAGCTATCATTGTCCCTCACTACTTGCAACATCATTGGCCTTGAGAGGAGCAGACGAGAAGGAAATACAACGAGTATTGGAGCAGGTATGATCCTCGTATGTTGCAATGATACGAGCGCCTTCAGGTATCTTCATCTTCCTTACTATTGTTTGTGGTCTAGCTCTTTCCTTGCATAGCTATTAGAATAACGAGATCACCCTTCATGGAGGTATAGGGCCTCTACAGTTGGTGGTCTCTACCAAGGTGAACATTGGTGTTGGCGTTTGATTCCAACTGGCTGCCAAACAGTCCAGTGTCCAACGCAAGGCAACTGAACCGCGAACGAGGGCTTTGTTTCAATCGGGGACTCATAATGCAGAGGTAGAGGCCCCCGTGTGGAGTTACGACAATGGTGGAGTGTCTATCCCAGGAGTGGACTACTTTCTAAATTCATTTGCTTTGGGGTTCGTTTAGTATACGTCAATTTTTTTCAGATGATAATGTTTGGACATTTAGATATATAGGAGAAGTTCCATATGCGCTTCATTCTAAGGCCAAAGGAATTTGATCTAGCCTTTTGCATCATTCTCCACCTCTTGTTGTTAGCATGAGACAGTTGAAATTTGGTAGATAAGGCATGTATTGGCATATAATGCATGTATTGCAATCTCATATGACATCGGTAGAGATTGTTTTAAAATGTGAGTTGACATCATTCCCATTTTTCTTGTTCCTCTATACTTTAATGAATTTGATTAGCATTAGAAAAGCATATCATAGAGGTGCATAGTAGATTGAAATGGATTTTGATACCTGTTTGCTACAGTACTCGAGATCAACTAGGTGTCAACCACTTTTAGTTATGGTGCTTGCCGTATTACTATGAAATGAACCAGAAAGATCTTAAAATATATGAACCAGAAAGATGTTGGAAGAGCCTGTGCAATTTTCATTGTTTTTTCATTGAGTATCAGTGTATTGCCTGAGAACGTGTGTACTCCTGCTTCAGTGGTTGTGAAATGGTACCATATATCTCAATATTGAGATAGAACAGTGTTGTGTTTTTTTAGTTTTTCAGTAATTTGGTTGTATTCATTTCCTGAAAAAAGTGTCCAGTACAGTTACGATAGCTGTGAGCAGTGTAGCTATTGTAGCTAGGGCACCATGAACGTGTACTGAGCATAATTATGATTTGTGAAGGATTTTAAAATAAAAATGTCAGTCAGATAATGAGGATTCTGATTCTGGTGCTGTTGTTTGAGTGTTTTTCTTTACATTGCCACATTTAGTTCCCGTCTTTTTAATTTGAATTCTTCTTCTTGTAATCTTCAGGTGTGACAGGACTCGTAGACTACACTAACTATGATGACATGAAATATGCAGTAAGCCATCATTTTGCTTCTTTCTACATCTACTATTAATTTCTGTAACCTTTCCTTGTCTGAACTGATTTTTTCTGTTTTCTGCTCAGATTCGAAAACTTAATGATACGGAGTTTAAGAATCCATTCTCCCGGGCTTATATTCGGGTAAGTTTTCTTGACACGATTAATCTACCATCTTTCAAATCCCAAAGGATGCATGCAGAGCATTCCCTCATGTGTTTCAAATCCCAAAGCACATCATCAACTCTCTCTGATGGTAAAAGTGAACCTGCTTGTTCGATTTGGTACTTCGGTAGATAGCCATCTCAGAATGTTGTAATTGAAAAATCATGAGAAAGTACCAGAGGAACTTTCAGAAATCATTTTTGGAAACATTTTGAAAACCACATGAATATCTTTTTCTTGATACACTTGCATACAAGTGAAGAGCTGAATAGCGATGTGAATGATGATATCTCCCGAGTATCTTAGACTTGGCATGTGGTAATGAAACAGGTCAGAAAGTATGACCGTAGTTTGTCCAGGAGCTGTAGCCGAAGCAGAAGCCGCAGCAGGAGCCACAATAGGAGCAGCGGCGCACCGCGGAGTCATAGCCGTAGCCTTATGTATGATTGTGAAACTATTGAAATATTTTTATGAGTTTACCAGTGACACGACTCTCTCTCTCTCACACACACACACGCACACACACACATGCATATCAGTGTTGTTAATACCAGACCTGTGACTGCACTAATGAGGGAGCCAGTGCGGTTGGAGTGGTTCTTCCTGACAGGTTCACAGGTCGAACTGGTCAAAGAATTAAACAATAAAATTTTTGAAAAGTGCAAAAAATTGGGTAGAAAGAAGAAAAGAAAAAGGAAAGAGAGAGATATGATAAGATTCAGAAATTTAGAAAATGTAGAAAAATCAGGAAACCAAATATGAAAAATATAAGGAACAAAATACAAATATAACACATCCATATGTCCAATAACTCAGCAAACATTACCAAAGAAACATTATGAAGTAAATAATGAACTACTGAAGGAAAAAGGCATGTTTAGATGTACTTGTTATCACTGATAATTCACAGTTTCAATAATATTGATTGTGATAATAAATTATTTGTTGTCGCTGGTGGCTGTCGTAAAGTTATTTGAGATAGCTTATAGGCGATTTTACATGTGAGTTTTTCTCTTTGAAAAGTTGTTTTGATCTTATTCAAGTAATTTGCTGGAAATCACTTTTTTAAGCCAAAAATAGCTAAAAATTGTTGAAACAGTTAAATAGTTAAATAATATCCTTTTTTGTTTTTTAAATATGTTTAGTTTGTCCTTATCATTTATTAATTAACATCATTATTATTCAAATACGAAGATGTACATGCCTTAATGAGTGTTACCTTTTCCCATGTAACTTACCATTTCCCATAGTATCATTTATTACAAAATAGTTGTTTGTCATTATTTATGATTTTTTATTTGTAAAGCATTTATAGTGTATTTACTCTCTCTCTCTCTCTGTTGCTCCCCCTACATGCATGCCTCATCTCTTCCCCGCAATGGATTATCTCTCTTTTTATCTTTCTCTCTCTCTTAAATGACTCATTATCTTTTAGATTTTTCTTCTTATTTCTATGCAGTCTTTTTTATTATAAAATTGTTAATTATAGTTTCATTAGTAGTAAAGTTATCATTATGAAGCACTATTTAAATTTTAACTTAATATTACTAATTTATTCTAATATTATAGTAATAATTTTATAAATTTGCATATAACTATTTTGTTTTTTACAATGTAATTTATCAATAATTGTTTAGGACAAGTAATACAATGAGACCATTTACCTTTACTATTGGATGTGAAATTGGGTGGTTGCATTTATTCCATTGACCAAGTTCAAAGTTCAAAAGAAATTTGCTTGAACTTTGTGATACATCCAAGCTATCGGATTTCCCATCGGATGGTTCTAAATAACTATGACCTCCTTGTACAAAAGGTGACTCATTGTATACAATCTTAATTATTTAAACTCACTACTTTATTAATGGTAATAGTAATTGTTATAATGTTCAAAATCATGATATATATAGATGCAATTCATTATACCAAAGATATAATTGAAATAAGATACAAAAACAGTTAGAATCCTAATTAAATATTTATAATATCTCGTAATCATATAAGTAAATTTTGTAATTATTTAGTATAGTAAACAAATTCTAGTCTTATTTATAGAATTTATTACTTTACATTAATTAGTTTAGTTCAAAATTAATAAATATATTTGTAATTGAATTATGATCATAATATTATCATCTCTAAGTTACTTAGATGTCAATTTTTATATATTGTTTAATATTCAATTGCGTAGTATAAAGAGAAAGACATATATATCGATTTGATTTTTTTTTGACATGCATACCAACATTATTATTAGTTTTAATTGCAATAGATATCTAATTATTATAGGTTATTTGTTAATATATCATGTGACATATTTTTTGTATTTTTATTTTTTCTAATTTTTCAGAATAATATTTACTTATAAGTAAATACTTTGTTTGCTAATATTAAGTAAAAATAATTTCAATTATTTTAAAAATAATATAATTAAAAACTAAGAAAAAATAAAAGTAAAATAAAAACGTAGTTAACACAAAATGAAAAGATAATTCATTCTTTGTTTTTTCTTGCGTTTTTAGTTTCTCCAATTTTTAAAATAATACTTATTTCTAAGTAAATAATATACTTATATAAATTAAAATAATTTTATTTATATTTGTTAATGATATACTTGACTATGTCGAAAAAGGAAGGATAGTAATTAACCATAAATGCAAATTAGATATGTAAACAATATAATTGAAATTATACTTTGAGAAAAATAATTACCCCAAAATGCAAGTCATAAGTAGATTTATAATCACATTTTGAAGTTTATATGATATGTCTTTGCATTTTTATTTTTATAATTCTCTAGAATGATATTTACTAATAAGCAAATATTAAATTTACTAATATGATTAATAATAATTTTCGAGTGGGTTAGAGAATAATATAATTAAAATAGAAAAAATTATTATCTAATAGAAGCAAAGATGGATTCACCAAATCCTCTCTATAATCGAATATATGTTAATTTAAGATGAAAATTTTATTTTAGTGATTAATATTTAGTACACGTGCAACACACGTGCATATCACTAGTTATACATAATATAGGATACGTACCATAATACAAGATACATACCAAACAGCTGACAAAATAATTTCATACAGAGTATATTATTTTCGGTAAGATAGTCTATTTCTGATAAAATTAATTGTCATCCAAACAGGCCTTAGAGTGATAGCATAAAGATACAATTAATTGCCATTCAATCAGGCTCTGAAGTGATGAATATAAAGATAAAATTGCCATCCAAACAGGCCCTAAAGTTATAAACATAAAGCCACATCTCATGAGATGATATGGAACCAAATTTGTAAGCTAAATCAACAAAATGCTACTCAAGCAATAAGAACAATTAACATGATTAGAGAATACCACTTATTGCGTTTTTCAAGGACAATTTGAAAATATATTTCTTGCAAAAACCCTAAAATTTTGAATTTTTTTCTGGTTTCACAAATATATAACAAACAATAAAAAAGTATTAAAAACTTGGGGTTTGGTCTATTGTGGATTGATGGCGGGAATCATGTCAGAAAGTCGCCGGTTTTTCAACCAAGATAAGAGGGTTTCGGGGCATATATATATATATATATATATATATATATATATAGAGAGAGAGAGAGAGAGAGAGAGAGAGAGAATCGCCAAACTTGCTTTCTCTGTCTCTCTCTCCCTCTCTCTCTCAGCAACCTCTTTTTAACCCCATAACCTTCCCTATACAATGACCAAAAAAGGCCAAAAGTTGTACCTTTTTTTAGAAATTGGGTTTTTTGTCACTTTTCTCCCCCCATTAGGACTGGTTGATCTGGTCAGGCCATTAGCCCTGCACCAGTTTGCTAGGCAGGCCCATCCAGGGCTGAACCGGATGATTTGGGAACTGATTTGCCAGTCCACTTGTTGAACCAGCATCCGGTCCAATTTAAACACACTCCTTTGAACCATCGGAGAAATGATGGATTTTAGGAGAGTTGCGTCTTGCTATTCCCACATCAAAATGTGTACTGATTGTTTTATCTTTTTATCCTTGTGAATCAGTTGACAATTAGATATCGTTTTCCCTGATATATATTTTTTTAATATTTTATGTGCCACTCCTAAAATGGAAGGTTTCTTTCTTCCAAGTTATTTTAAGATATCTTTTTATCCTTGTGTTTTTCTTTTATTTGTTGAGTAACTCCTGTATGGTTGTTTTATAAAAAATAATAATAAATAAAATACAGATAAAATAAGAACTTCTGCATATTCTTTCTTTTAGCGATTTAATAGAGCAGCATTTTTAATTGGATTTGTTATAAAGCTAGAGTCATCTCTGATACCCAGTGTGCACGACTTTGTCATTGTACTTCTGCAGCAAATCAAAGGAACCACGTTCAAGATCTGAATCACGATCAGTTTCACCAAGATCCAGATCTATGTCTGTCAGAATCTCTTCCAGGTACTTTGTTAAGATATTGATAATATTGCAGCTTCTATATTTGTATTTATCACCTTGAATATGTTTCCCCTTTCTTGAGCATTGTTAGATGGATCTTGCATGTCAATCTCATAGCTTGTTTCAAATGCACAGGTCAAGGTCCAGGTCCAGGTCTTGATCACATTGTAAGGTATGCGAATAGTGCCTAGCTAAAAAAGAACAATGGGAAGTACTTGTTTTTGTGGAATGTGATTTTGTCATTTCGTGGTCACTGAGGAGGGGCTGGATGGTTTTAACTGGTAGTTTTCACTTTACAGTCTATTATCAGCCTGCCTAACTAGCTGATTGTTGGGTGTGGATCCTTTCATGAAGCTTGAAATTGTGGTCCTTTTCAAACTTTTAATTGTTTCAATCAGCCTTGATATTTGCAGGAAATATTGAGTGGTAGCGGCAAATTTTTTTAAAATGACCATTACGATTGATTCTTTGCAGCATAACATGAATGATCCCAGTTATACAGTTGGAAATGGGCGTGCTTTTCCACAATATCCTTAAAATGTGCAATTTCTTCCCAAATTTCAGTTTTATTCACTCTCCTCTCTCTGGTTTATTGATTATTGGTTGCTATTTTTCCTTGATTCCAATACTGGCCTATGAAACTTGCATACAAATAAAAAACTTGAAGAGGGAGTTTGGGAAGCTCCTATGATTTTTGTTGCAGTCGGATCTCTCAATTTTGGGTGGTTTGTTAAAAAATGAAATCCAGTCCAAAAGACTTATGGAAGCATGTGGATCACAGGCACTAAATTTGAAAGGAAATTTTATAGGGTATATGGAGACATGGACAATCACAAGGCGGCTTTTGTGGAAGTTGAGATATTGAGATGTGGTCCCCTGGAAAAGTTTCTTGTTGGTTCCTTCTCTCTGATGAAGATAACTCTTTTCAAAATCTGTTGATGGGCAGCTAGAGATTGGGGGACCGCTGTCCCTTATTGGAGAGGTTGTTGTTTTATATCTGATAGATTTTGAGTATGTGGCCTTGTGAGTTTTTGAGGGAGAAGTGAAGAGCATGGATATGACAAATTATTCCTCAAACCATAGACATCCCTTCTCAAATCCATTGGTTCACAGTTGAAGGAGCTGAATCAAGGCCACGGGGTTCACCCGTATGGGTTTTTCTATGAGACCTCCAGGCCATTGGCAAAGCCTACTCATTAACAGAAAAATCAAGTCCATGCATAGTAAGTGAAAGTAGTTTTAGCAGGGTTATTCTCATTATGCGGCCTTATGAAATGTCCAAATCCTTTGTTATATGTTCCAAATTCCCATGGGGGTGTCTGAATCTTGATAGAATTTGTTAACATTTTCCCTTTCAAAGTTAATGGTGATGAGCACAATTTTCAACATTCACATGATATTGAGAAGAGGCATGCAGGCCTAAGAAACTAAGAGGGCTTGGTACTAGGAAATACAATAACATGAACATGGCTCTTTTGGACAGTGAGTTTTTAAGGTGGTTGTGGGGGTGTGGGATCATCTCTGGAGAATGATTGCTGGGGTTAAATGTTTTGGTTGGGGACTGTAATAGGTCCAGTGTTGTTTTGCGATGGTACAGGGGTTGTGGTAGGTCCAGTTTTACCCTGTGCCTGGTACTGGATACAGTGGCACTTATCGTGTTCCTTCGAAGTTTGGTGGGCGTGCCATCTGATTCAGAGGGCACCATTACTGATCCACTGTGGTGCTCTCATTCAAAGGGAATTTATCTGGGAGATTGTTGAATTTGAGTAGTTTGTTGGGATTTTTTTAATAGATTATGATTTCTAGGGTAGGAAGAAAGTAGGAGAGTTTGAATGAGGAAGAAGTCTCTCTTACTTACCTGTGAGAGTTTGATTGAGGTAGAAGTCTCTCTAACTTACCTTGTGAGAGTTTGAATGAGGTAGAAGTCTCTCTCACATACCTTGTGATTGAATATTAGTTACTAGAAATGCTAAGGCATACTCATGGTAACAGGCTGAGAGTTGATTCTTATAAGGAATTGTGGGGATTGCTTTTCAAGGGCTAATTTTGTAAAGGGAAGTGCAATGCTTATGAGATGTTTGTGTAACTAGGGGTGGGATAGCCGATTTTGTCCCTTAATCATCCTGATCCCTCTTAGGGTTATGTTGGCTTTAGTTTGCTGGAGAAGTTCTACAATTTTTTTATTTAATCATTTTTAGCATCTAGCAGGCCTTCAATTCCTGTGGGGTTCTTCCACTACATCATGTGCTGTGCTATTTGCCCCATCGACTATATCTTAATTGCTTTTTATGCACTTTATCAGCAGTAATTTTTTGAATTTTCTGAGTGATTTTGACTTTTGTGGTTGCTTGTCATGAGAGTTTTGGTGCCTGATTTATTCATGGACAGAAGGCACATCCACTGGAAGCTTGCAAAATCTCTTGGGGACTTCTAAATGTGTGGAGCAAGTATTAGATAATGATGCTACAGTAAAAATGTTTTGGAGGATGATGTTCTAGTTTTGAGGTTCTTACTGATCACATTCAGGCTGTCAAGTATGTCTTACATTATTCTAGTCATAGGTTGGTTTTGTCCTTTGCATTATTCTAGATCATGTATATCACATTATTCTAGTCATAGTTTGATGATACTACACTCCTTTTGTCATTTGATTAACTGTGAAGCAAATTGCCATTTGGTTGAGCCCCTTGCAGGCAGGACCACATTGGCTTCATTTTCACTTTTGAGAATCATTCCATCTCTCGTAAGTTTACATGGTATTGGATTCCTAGTGACTTATACTGGACTCTAAACATTAACTTGATTAAGAACAAAAAACATAATTGCAAAGAACTATCACAGGGGGGGCATGATAGGCATTGGATTGAGTCAGCAGCCTCGAGCTTTATGCTGTTGGCTTTTTAAAAGTCTCCTAAAGCTCTTGCAATCATTTTTGGACCTTCCCATTTGTATCATATAATTTTGTTAGGGTTGTAATGGGACAGACTTTCTCTGATTTCTCTTTTCACTCAAGGGAAGCCAGACATGCCTGGTATAGGCGGCAACTGGTTTGGCCAGGGATGGCTTAATATTTACTTGAACAAAGTCATACCCTTCAAATGTAATAGACCTTTGCTGTATGGCTCGAATTTTGTAACTGAAGTAGGTAAGCAAGATCTCAGGTCTTCTAGATTAAGTGACTTCTAATTAATTATAGAGATGCCTTTACTGGGTGAGATGAAAGACTGTGACACTAGGGGGGTTTCTAGTAGGGGCTTACCATTCAAAGCCACTCCCTTTACATTGGCATGGCTTCACAACTCCATGCGTCGCCCTTATGTTTATTGTATAATATACAATGTTTTTATTTCAAAATAATTGAATTTGAATAAAGAAAACAGAAGGCATTGCTGTACCGCAAGCATACCTTGCTTTTAATTTTTATGAGAAAGCAGATCTAGATTATCAATGATTCAATATGGTTTAAGGTAACTGAATAGATGAGCAGGTTTATCTATAAAACTTGACTGCTAAAACTCGACTGCTGGTTGCTACTTTTTCCAATTTAGTTCATCTTTTTTCTTCTGCACTTGCTGGTTAGGAAATTGATTTTCGTTTGATTTTTTTGTTTTTTGTTCCAGGCACAATTTGATGGCAGTTGATACTTCATTGCACCAAATCAAACCTTAACGCAGTTTCCGGGATTGAGCTTGTCAAAATATTTAATCTTCTAACCTGTGAAGGGACTCTGGTATATCTGACGTGACATTGGCCTTTGTTGATGTTAAAAACTCAAATTATTAGGAAACTATTTCGCTTCTCAAGCTTGTTATAATGTTGCATTCTCTGTTCGTGGACCTTGGGCACATCTCACATAACAATAGCCATTTTTATGTTACATTGTCATGTATATTTTACTATTTTTCCTCTCCTCAATTTGGTTTCTTTCTGCTGCAGTTCATAATGTAATCGGAGTCTTATGGATGGATGGATGGTTGTCATTAGTGTTGGATTTGGTGCTTGGATTTGCTTCTTTGAAACTTCATGACAGTGTGGTTTTGGAATATTGGTCCCACTTGACAATGCTGACTTTCGTTCATAATGCTTTGACAATGCTAATTTTCCTTTCAAATTTTAATGTGAAAATGTGACAAATATCTAGTGGAATGGAGAGGTAGGGAAGGGAAGACAAATGTTGGAGGAAACCCTTATGATTTTGAAGAAAGGAAAAAATGTTGAGAGAGACAGTAAGTGAAAAAGTTGCATCACGACTATTTCCTTGCCATTTTTTGATATCCTCGTTCTGGTTTTCATGGTTGGCAGGGGTTCCGTAACTAGAATAAGTGATTTTGACAGTGACAAAATGTGTATGTGTGTGTGGAGAGTCGAGCTGGGATTCATGGGAAAAGGGGTCCAAAGCTAATATATATTTGGAAACTAAACTTAAAACTATGAATTAGTTCAGGGTCTTTTTGGAAATGAGCCTATCGGAGATGGCATAGCAATACCGAGAAACTTCCATTCTGGTGCAAACATGTGAGACCTATGATGTCGAGGTATTGTAGAAGAAAAAATTGCAAAATCTGATGCTAATCAATTAGTTAACATGTTGGTTAACTGTATTCTAAAATAAGGAAAAAAAATCATTGGCTTATCAAATTATCTATTGAGTTCTGAAAAAGATTCAACCAAAATGAACAAATCCACTGTCTGTTTTCTGTGGAGCAATATATGGAGTAACTCCTGATATAGTAGTAAAAACAAGGCGTGTAGGCAGATTGACTCAAGTTCCCATTGAAATAGGATCTATACAAGGAAAAAATACTTGCCATTCATTGATTATTAGGGGTATCTCAAAAACAGTTCAGGTCGCTGATTGATTGGACCTCCACTTAGGACACGCGAGAGCCTGGTAGGAATGAATGGCTCCCTGGCGTTGAATGGGACGGATGTTGGTTGTCCCCTTCCCTATAACCCTACCTCGCTTGCCCAGGCCTGTCGGCACAATATGTTGCTCTGATATAGATTATTATTATATTTTTATAAGGTGCTCTTTTTAGGGAAATTACAAAATTAGTGAAATATATATAGAGAATAAAGAAATTTGTTGTATAATCCTGATCAACATTGATTATGTAATGCTTTTACGGTGTTAATTGATTTCCATCGTTTAAATCTAAGAGTCTCATTGCTACATGACCCTTGTGAGTCATTATCCACAGCAGGTATGGTTAACATTGGATGAGACCTTGTCTAGTCGCAATTGACCACCGAAAGTGTTAAGTAGATAGTTAGAAATATGCGTCACCTTAAATACTCTTTTTACGAATAAACATAGTTATAATTTTAAACTTATTTTTCTATTAATTAATAATGTTTCTCAATTATAAAGTTAAATTTATAGTAGTAAATTTAAATTTAATTAGATATATTAATTATAAATTTTTAGGAATTCACTTTTTGAAATTATGCTAAAAAATGAAATTATTCTAATTAATATTTTTATTTAAAAAATTGTGGCATTCTATATAAAATTTACATAATTTTAAAAGAAATATTAGGATGTAACATGCAATGTAAAATTTATCTAAATGGAATTATTATTTCAATTTTTTAACAAAAGTTACTTCAAAGGAGAAAAGCATCAATTACAAAGTCATTGAAACAACCAAAAGATCGAGGAAGGAATTACCTTGCTTAGCCAATTGCTTCCCGGTTTGCCTCCCTCAAATGCGACCATAATATTCATAATTTGAATCAAAACTGATCTATACGCTTCCAAGGAATTTGCTACTCCTTAGTACAAAACTGCATACAACATTCAACGAGTCACCTTCCGCAGTAAGTGCATAGCCACTTTGTATTCTAGCAAATAACTTCAAACCAATAATACACTTAGTTCAGCCTCATTCGTTTATGTTTGTCTACATGGCCTCAAATATGTCAATGTAACATTATTACCATGATCTCTGATTAAACCATCCACTCCATGGAATCATGTTGCCCAAAGAAATCCTGTTGAAATTCAGTTTAAGCGTACCATGAGTTCTTTTGCTTTTTACTCTTAACTATGCTCATCTCCACAAGATTTTCTAAATTAACTTGCAAAGTCCATTTTTTATTACCTACCCATACCGTGCTAATTCCCATCAGGCAAAACAAGCATCCAAAGTTCTGCCTTTCACGCCCTCCACCTCCAGTAATAACTCCCTAAAAAACACTTCTATTTCTTTCTTTCCAAATATTTTCCAAATAACTTTCACAAATTTTTGGTAAATTTGGGAAACTAAGATGGTCCACTATGTCTGAGGTTCTTCTTGAATATTAATGGACAAGCCCACATACTAGCACAAACCAAATTCCATATTTGTTGAGTAAACAAGCATTGTTAAGAAAAGATGTCTCCATTTCCCTCATCATGCTTGTACAAATTTTTGACATTACTCTCTCTCTCTCTCAATTGATCAGCCATCAATACCGTACCAAGGCTTACCACCCACATGAAAGTCTAACTTACATGAGGTATCGCCCATTTTCAAATCTTAACCCATCTTGGACTTGCCCATCTTAATCTATCATGCAACAACACCAAATATAAGGATTTAACCGATAAAATATGGTCACTTTCCACCTCCCAAATAGCCTCATCTTCAACCTTAGGAGTGATACAAACCTCCTCTAGATTTTCCAACAAGTAAGTTGTCATATAAGACAATCCAACACTATATTCTAGCTGCAAACAATGTTGGAGTTTGTTTCAAAACCTCTACGAGAACAACCTCCCCAACCTTCACAGACTATCCTCCACAATCCTATATAATTATGGGAATTTTAATTTTCAGAGATGTATCACCTAACCATTTATGCAACCAAAACAAATTCTTGTCAACCTTCCCAATCAATCATATTAATTCCTTATAAAAAGTGATTTATATTGCAAAACCCCGTCCATATTAGTAATCCCTCACTTCTTCTTATCATTGTTACATTCCTTATTAACAATACCACTCTCTATTACATATATGTTTTGCAATCAACACTTCTCTCTCTCTATAATTGATGATCCCTCTGAAGACTTATCCACCACCATTTGGATATAAGAGCCAAATTCATTACCTTCAGCTCTCTAATACGGAGGTCTCTCTCATTCTTTGGTGTGCACACCATATCCCATCCCATTGAACAAAATGATATTTTTTCAAACTTGCTTCCCTACCGCAAAGGAAAGGCTTCATTGGCTTTTCTAATTTTCTCGCATCATCATTAGGAAGGATAATTAGAGACACTAGGTAATTGGGCAGCCTAGATAAAGTAGACTCAATCAAAGTAGATCATACCACTAGGAAAAGATAGCCTTCCATAAATCTAGTTTGAAGCTAAATCTTTGCATAACGAGGTCCTTGACTAATCTTGGCAATTTGGAGTTAAAGATGGGAATACAAGATCTTTCACCTTCCACCTCAAGAAAGAAGCAAAGCCCTCAGCAGTTAGTCTTAAACAAGCGATCCCCACTAACATTATTTTCTCAAACTTCACTCTCAATCTCAATACCACTTCATGGCACCTGAAAAATCTTCTCAAATAAACAAAGATCATCCCAAAACAACTTAAAACCAGATAAAGGCCCTCTACACCCTACTAAACATGATACTAAAAGCCTCCACAATTAAGGTAAATAAGAATGGTGATAAGGATTCATCTTGTCTTAATCCTCTACTTGCCTTGAAGAAACCCATCGTGGTGTCATTGATAAGGATAAAGAAGTGCTCACTAAAAAGGCAACCCTTAATCCACCTTCACCACCTTACACCAAAACCCATCCTCCTCATGGTGGATTGAAGCATATCATTTTCAAATTTAAAACTTGTTTTTTTTATTTTTTATAATGTGTTTATTTTTAGGAAATTATAAAATTAGTGAAATATTTAATTAAAATAACAAAGGATTATATTGTGTAATCTTGATCAACATTGATTATGCTTAGACTTTTAAGATGTACAATCATATAGTATCAGTTATCATCTTTTAAAACTCTCAACATTCTCAAATGATGCATGATCCCATGAGTTATTTTCATAGCCTATATGGTTAGCATATTCCCATGACAATGAAGTTGACATTGGGCGAGACCTTGTCTAGTAGCAATTTTAGGACCAAATAAACTATGAAGAGAAAAATCATGCATAGAGTATATGTTCTTAAAGAAAAATGTCCTAAGATTGAAAAGAGACTGCCTAATTTTGGATACCCTCAATATTTATTACAGAGAATAGAGAAAGAGTTATCCGTATGATTTTGGATACCTAGATTGTATCTTTCATCTTTCTAACTTATTAATAATAGTAAATAGGGAAAGTATAAAATGAAACCATTTACTTTGATACAAGGTGGTCACAATTAATCTTGACCATTAGATGCGCAATTAGATTGTTGCAATTATTACATTGGCCAAACTTAAACTTCAAAATAAATTTTTCTCAAACTTTGTGACACATCCAAGCTATCAAATTTCACATGGTTGTGTAAGGGATTATGACCACTTTGTACAAAGGTAAATGGTCTCGTTGTATACAATCCCTAGGAAATAATATTATTTTCATTCCTTTACAATGTGAAGGTAACTAATCCAATCTCTTATTGTATTATCCTAAACTTGGTAAATTATCTTCCCCAATTTGTTTTCTTCAATAAATTTTTCGTCTAAATATGTGGCATGTCCTATACCCTTAATGGCGTTCAATACATAAGAATAAAGAGTTATGTTAGGATGCTCACACTATAGAGCATTTTATAATTGTGCTCAACAAATTTTAAGCACTTATATACCTTTGTTTTGTGTTTATACTCGAAAATACGGGCAAGGGATTTCGTTCCTACTTTGGTTTCAGGTGCAAACAAATCAAAGAGTTGGAAGAGAATGAGTCTTGTCAAATTGCGTTATGAGGAAGAGTAGGGTCCTAAAACCTTATCCCTCTCGAACCGTTGACCAAGCTGGCTTCTCTCCTATTTCAACCTTGGAATTTGACAAAAAGGTTTTAAAAGA